TACTAGGGGTTCCTGGCCGTACTACTAGGAGCAAGAAGCTACTAGGAGCTTTTTCGCTGCTAGTGACTGATGCTGCAGGCCATGACACCTGCACCAAGTTCGCCCCATGCGATTCCGGCAGGAGTCCACGTGTCGTCCTTGCGGGGTGAGTCTGAGAAACCTGCGACCTTTGGGGTGTTTTGCCCACAAACCTGCGACAGCATTCCTGTCAAAACTGGAGGAACAGCAATGAGTCAAAAGCAATGGAAACCACCCTGGCCACCCTGACCTGGAACGGAGAATCGTTTGCACACATATTGATTGAAGAGCATCTTAGATTCTAGACATGTTTGGCCACACATTGCCTCCTCCAGCTTGTTTGTCAGAATGGATTTATGGCCAGAATCTTTGAGGCCCTTTGTCAAGTTTTTTGCTGGCCAAGGTTGTATCCAGCCGAAAGGAGGTTGGGCAGGGGCATGAAGAAGCAGTTTGCAGTCAATGTGGGCCGTTCAAATCCGGCACATGACCAGCAGCTGAACACCAGCAATGTCTCATGCAGGTCAGGACATCTTACAGATCTAAATACTGAGATTGCAGAACACATCAGGTTGTTCGTTCAATGGCGCAACGGCATTGTTTCAGATCCTCCAAGAAGACGCTGAGAAAACACAGTTATTGTTCGTCACATCGGGCTGAGAAGTACCCAGGAGCCTTCAGACTCTATACTTTCCGGCAAGCTTTGGAAATTCGATTATATATTTAATAAAATACATGTTTGCAACATATTTGTGAAGATTTAGAATCAAATGTGTGAAATAAATATGATTGTCCTGGTCCTGTTGCCAAACATGGCTCACAGCAAATTTACAAACAGTTCACAAAATGATCACAAATATGTCATAGCTGTTTCACAGAAAAAGAAAAAAACACACACATGTGTGTGTAATGATTACACATTTGCCCCAGCCGTCTCCCAGAGTTCACATTTCTTCCAAATTATCCTCACAAATGTATGTTTCACAGATATGTCACTGAACATAATCAGTGGACGGACCAAATGGATGACACGGAATTCCATGGTCTTGACACCAAGTCCGAATCCAAAGAATCACATGCAACAAGGGGCCCAGGATGGCATTGACAACACACCATGTCCCATTCAGGGCAGGATTGGTGTCCACGTTTCTTGAAGGATAAGACAAGGAAAGACAAGGATACCCCTATCTATAAGAACAAGATAGAGTAGTGGATGTGGAGTATATTGTTTGTCATGTTCATATTTCGTTTTGTGAGGCAAGATAGATGCTGAATGCTGAGAAGATCCAAGACAGAAACCAGACGGTTTTCTTCAAGATTTCACCGGGTTCCCCTCGAAATCATACGGGCGATACCGCATGCGAGGCCCGTCAGAGCGATACCCGGAAAAGTCAGCCAAAGCCGTCTTGGTCTGATGCGCAGATGAGGCACTGCTCGGGAAAAAGAAACAGTGAAGAGCATGTAAAAGAGACTCATGCACGAACGGAGCGCGTTCCAACATGCAGAATAGGGCAGTCCGAATTCCAAAAACATGGCCGGGGCGGCCAACCTAGCTAGTGGCCAGCCATTTCCGTGTGGCCAGCCATTTCCATGTCCCTGCTTCGTCGGGACCATGGTTCGTAGATGGTCTCCAGCATCGCCTACGTATGTGCCAGCAGTTGTTTCTGTGCTCAACAATGAACTTGAACCAGATCGCCACCCGGAGCATGCATACTCCGCCGCCCTTGGAGAAAAGCTTTTTGGGGATCGTGTTGCATGCAATGCAACATGATGTAACCAAGAAATGCAAGTGGCAAAGGGCCAATAGATGTCTAACCATTGTGAGAAAGCTCACCTTTGTGATATGTTGCGATCGAGCTAGCCAAAAAAGAGGACATTTTCGGACATGAAGGCGCACGCACGGATGCAGTTTGAGGTCTGTGTGCACTGGCTGTTTGTTCCTGAAGGAAACTGTTCAACTCCAGCTATTCTGCGGGAACTTAAAGACTCAATCCCAGAGGCTTGCATGCGAGCATTTCTGCCAGCCAGTTTTTGCGTTGCCTGGCTGGTATGCTTCTTGTGTGCACGCACTGGCTCGTCTCTCTGTCTCGTGTCCTGCCTCGCACCAACGATTGCTAGTTCCTAGGACTCAACTCCCCTGAAACCCTTTCGGTTGCTAGATCCTAGGCCCCTAACTGCAAGCACTGGCTGGTTCCTAGAGCCTAGCTCTACTGACAACCCTGTAAGACTACGGTCGTGCGTGGTTCCTAGAGCTCTCTCGCTTTGGCTCCCAACTGCCTGTTTGGTTTCTAGCATCCGGCTCTTTTGCTGACAACCCTTGGCACTGGAGCTTTCTGCTGCTCTTGCTTCTTGGAAGCTGGTCAGTAGCTTACCTGGAGGTCGAAGCCACACAGGGATGTGGTCAAGCCGAGTGAGGTCTGTTTGCCTGGACTGAGCACTGGACTGAACTGGTATGGTCTGGCCATGCCTAGCCACCTACCTTTGCCCTTTTTACTCCTCTGAGCTCATGTTCTGAGACTGCATGTTCTGGCTCTCAAACCGGCTCTGGCTGCAAGCTGCAAGCTTGTCTCCATGTTCTCACCCAAGGTCTATCCTTGGTTCTCTTCTTCTTCCACGCTGCAAGCTATCTCTCTTCACTGTTTGTCCATGGCGTGCCTCGCTTCCTCGTCTTCTCCTCGCCTGCCTCCACTGCCAACGTTGACACGAAGCTGCGCTGATAATCTCTGACAAACGGTGGCCATGCGTTTTCTCTTTGACACAAAACTCATTGTTGCCAAACCACTGCGGTGGTCTGTCTGCCTTTCCGAGTCGTCTTGCCGGGCGTAGGGACTCTCTGCCCTTCCACTCTTTGTCCAGTGACTGTCAGGTTATCAGGCGGTCAGAGACGCAGATGGGAAGGTGGTTTGACACAGCAGGAGATCGACCAACACACAGCAGGACATCGACCGGAGACATAGTGAGACCTGATGGGACATTGTTCAATGTCTCTCATCGTCCCAGTCCGATGGTATGTTGCAGAGGGCGGGGACCTATTAAAGGGTTTTGGCCGTCTTGCCATTTTCAGGTCACCCCCCGCTTAGATGTGGGGGATGTTCATGATGATCCTTTTCGGCGTTGTCCTGTTTCAGGGAGAAGAGTCCCTCCAAGCGGAGCCCAAAGATGGCGAGTCCTTCCACGCGGCCAAGAGCCAAGTCGGCCTCCTGCGTCGCTTGGTCGACCTTGGCGCGTTGTTCTTGTTCAATATGGAAAACAAACAGATTGGAATTCCATGGAAGTCAAAAAGTATGGGTGGTGAGAGGTTGCCACATGCAAAGAAAAGAGAATGACGTGCCTCCGGTGAATAGTTCGTGCCGCAAAGAATGGTTGATTCGTGAAACAAGCGGGAGTTTGGAACGACCGTGACCTCTACTGTAATAGATTATGAGATTGGAAGCATTGGAAGCACGTCCAAAAAATAGAATAGGTGGAGCAAAGTACATTTGTCCACCATGTAGTGCTTCCCTTTGACATGTTCTCTCATTTTTTTCAGTCATCATAATACAACCGCAATCCCCACGAATCTTGATTACCAAAACAGTAACGGAAGGAAGCCTCCCGGAAGACCATGTCCCATCCATGAACGCACATGTGCCATGTGCAAAATACTTGACCGCGGAGCTATTGAAGAACGACAAGGAATAAGGAAGTGAACCAACCTTTACACACCTCAAAGACCTCACAAAGACCTCACAAAGACAGCCGACGTTTCGGATCTTCTTCGGGCAAAGAAAAGAACCGCGTGACACGTTCAGCTCCTTCGGCACTCGTCCAGCCGAAGGAGCCGCGCCGTCAGGAGAGGCGTCGACGTCCGCTTCATCCACCTCAGAGGCGGGGCACGGTCCAGGTGGACCCAGCGGAAGCCATGAAGAAAGCTCCCTCTTCCGATGATCCCGAAACAAAGGAAGATGTCAAAGGAAGTCAAAGGAACATGACTAAACCTAGAACCTATTGATTAAAGGGGCGAAATGCTGAAAGACACCCAAATGTTTGATGTGTTTGTCCATTTTCATGTTCAGTGGCTTTACTGCATGTCGGGAATGTATGTGCGCAAATCGGATGCTTGTCTTCATATTGAGACTTGAGGCGAGCAGAGTGCGTGCTTGATGATGAGGCTTGCTGCATGGCACCTCGAAAGCCTCTAGTGGCAAGACGAGAGAACCAAGCATCAAGAGCTCATTCATCTCCCCTGGTACCATGGCACCCAGCAACTGTTGGTCCTCCGTTGTTTGCCATCGTCAATTCCGAATTCCAATTATTTGAGAATCAGCTTCCATTTGGTTGATTGTATACATCCACCAATTTAAATTAACTGCTATGGCAAAAGAGCGGGTTAAGTGTGTGTGTGTATATTATATATATATATATGTGTGTGTATATTAATATATATATATGCACAGCAACTTTCTTGATGTTTGTACAGATCAAAACGAATGTCATCACTGTTTCTCACCGATACAAACCGTTTGCCTCCAATGCTGTGAATGATTCAGCCTCTCTCAATGCTGTCAAAGCATTTGTCATGTGTCACCTCTGACAATTTGGCCACAATCCTTGAAGTTTGACTCCAATCCAGCTGTAGAAATCAGGATCAGTTGCAGACCAGGGTTGATGTGATCAGCTTTGGAGGGTGCAAGAGCCTCTAGTTACGAAGACCTGAATGTCCCTGCCATGCGCAACTTCTTTGTTGCATGTGTGGACTGCTTGTCAACATTGATGCCCAAAGCTATTGGAGACGTGTTCCAACAACTTCCAGGCCGTCAAGGGGCTACAAGCAGAAAATGAAAGCTTGTGGCAGCTTGCGGAGAGGCAGGTCTTGTTTCTAGAGTCGAAAAGTCACACTTCTGTTGAGTTCCAAGATGTATATAAACAACGGAAACAGACTCTTGCAGAGGGGTAGACATTTTGCTTTTGAGGCTGCAGATGCAATTGGCAGCCGTAGAGGACTGCCTTGTATTGGTGTTACCAGTTCCACCATCCATTGCACCAGCATTCTGACGAATCTATACAGTGTGCTTGTATTTTGAGACACGCAAGCAGAAGCCAACCCACTCACAGTTTGTCAAGTCATCTACAAAGCCATCGACCTGACCTCCGCAGTTAGTTCTGAGCCTCCAAGTCTCCGGCCTCAGTTTCACTTCGTGCTAGCGACAAGGCAAAATCATAGTGGCCTGGTTTGCCAACAAGTACCGATTTCGGTGACATCTCGCCACAGACCATGCGAAAAAACACGCAAGTACACCAGTTCTTCCAGGAGAGTGCAGGAGCATTGACGTAAAACAATCCCGTGTGTTTCCCATTGACGTAGAAAGGAACAAAGGCATTTTGCTCTACCAGAATCCTTGAAGGAAAGTCAGCGCCGTTATCAATGCGCCGCTGAAGAACTTCTGAGAGGCAAAGCATTGGACCGAGGAAAAGTCAACCCAATCGGTTTTGCCTTCTGAGGCGCATGGGAGGAAGATGCGGAAGAGGACCAGGAGATTCAAGTTTTTTGCCAAGAAATACCTTGCGGTTGCTTCAGTCAGGCACCGACGTGATGTCTCCACATCTCTCTCTCTCTCTCTGCGTATTTCCATTTTTGTGGAAGGATGAGTTGCTTCAAGTGCTTCAAGGCCAAGTTCTTATCGGACTTGGAATGGCACCTGTTCGCTTCAACATCCACAACATCCAAGCTCTTGACGACCCTACCCGCCGAACTCTCACGCTTCCCTGAACTCCCAGGCCGGCATCCCTCTACCTACGCTGAAGGGCTGGCATAGTCTGGGAGCAGCTTTATCGCCCAGCACATTCACGCTCACAAGACTCATTCCAAAAAAACATGGTCAACAGGGGGTTCTGGTGGCTTTTGCCCCTTATGCACATGTTGGAAGATTTGGATTGCAGAATACAGAAGATGATTCAGATCCTAGTCATCCAAGCAGTTTGGCGAACTTTAGTCAAATTGCCTCAATTCAGATAATTTGTGCACCACGCGGGACAGTGAGAGTGGTACGGGGTCGATGCAGCGAAGGGGAGCTGCCATTGGAAAATCGTATAATATATATATAAATATAATATACATATATATATATATTATATATAATTCTCCGATAATTCAATATACAATTGCAGAGCTTCACCCACCGGCGATGCCATAAGGGTTGTTCTTTTTTGTTAGTGGGTGTCTTGTGGAGTAATGGTTGTTTGTGGCAGGACAAAGTAATCTAAGGCCAAAGTTCAAAGTTATTTTTGCCGTGGTGGGGGTCTTGATGGTGGTAGATGTTCGCGCATGCGATATTGCAACATTGTTCTGTCGGCTGAAGACACTCGGTGGGAACACCGTACTTGTGATGCATTTTGTTCAAGAAAAGGTGCGACCCTTTGACAAGGATTATGAGCCTAACGCACAGGCTCTTGCTTTGCTGCCATGGATGATGATCCTGGCCAGCGTGCTCGCTCGGTACCACCACCTAACCCGTGGTGGTCGGCAAAGATGAAGGCAGAGTGCACCCTTTAGCAATGCAGGTCTGAAGCATTGCTTGTGCGGCACGACGGCGACCTGGAGGAAACAGCGCCGGAAGAGCGCCCTGGCGGAGTGGGGAAGGGAAGAGGAGCATCGACCCTCAGTGGAAGACTGTTTGTCACACCCCCTAGCCGAAGATCCGAAGGTCGTGGGAACGCAGCGGGCAAGCGCACAGAAGGGGATTTACTACTAGACCCAGCAGTGATCGACTATGGGCCCAATGCCCTTAGACTATGGGCCCAATGCCGAGGATCCCGACGGATTTCAACGAGCGTTGGAAGCCGAGATGGTGAAGTGAAAAATTGCAGGAGGAGGTGGACCTGCTGAAAAGAAAGCAGGCTGGCTCGGATGGTGTGACTTCCACCATCGTGGGAGCAGACCGATAGATCGAAGGAGAAAGCCATCTATATGGGTAACTTCACCGCCAAGGTGAAGGTGATCGTCTTGGTGGAAAGTAGAGCGGCGCGAGCGGCACGAGGACGGAGCCCGACGAAGGGGAATTTATGGACGTGGTCACGGGGGAAAATGGGATTTAGGTACCACCTGGGACGCTTCCTTTTTAACTTCTGGCGGAGTTATCGCTACTATCGTTTTTTAAATTTTATATGTAATTCGGCTGAATTTAACTTCTTGGAGGATTATAACACTATGGAGGCACGTCGACGAGGCCGTGGTGCTCCTTAGTGGCTGCCGGGCATGCGAGAAGGGAACGTTATGTGGCCGAGAGATAATCGAGCTGACGGGTTGGAATTCCAAGTGGAAGCTTTGAAAGCTTCGATGGGGCGTATGAACGCTGGCTAAGTGCTAAGAGTTTTGTGCTCGAAGGATGTGTTATTTGGAGTCGAAATAAAATCTTGGAGATTATGTCGGGCTTTAGGGTCATGATTTTCGTGAATTTGAAAATATAGTCGAGATCGGAGAGTTGGTCTTGCACCTCAATATGTTGGCGAATGTCATATGACGGCGCCTTCGTAATTTGGGTAATTAGGGCGTGTATTTGGACAAGTATATGTTTGGGTTCGCTTGGCGGATATATAAATCTCCGGTTGAAGGCTAACATAAAAATCTTGCTCTTAGCTTTAGGAGCGACGCTTTTGGGCAATTATGGATTGTGCCGCTTGGTGATGTGGCGGAGCTTAGGTATAAATCTGAATGGAAGGGCGCGTAGCGTGGGCTCCGGGATGGACGGGGTCGGGATTTGGAGGTGATGAGCCGATATAGATGTTTTATGGTGTCGCGAGGCCTCGGCAAGGAGATGATGGATCGCCTGGAATTCCGACAAATTGATTTTCTTAAGAAGGCCGTGATGGTCAAGATATTAATGGAGCATCTTCAAGGCGACGAATTAGTAGGTCTTCTCGATTCGATGGAATTGGCTTTAATCACGAAAGCTAGCATGCTAGTTGAGTTCTTTGCTTTAGCAATGTTGTGGTGGGAGGGGCTGCGTGCTTTAAAGATTGATATATCAAGCTAAACCCCCCCCCCCCCCCCCCCCCCCGCGGTTCAACTCCCAGCTGCGCCGTGTAGGGGGTTGGTTGAACGTGTGAACGTGGTTGGTTGGGTGTAACGGTGGCTTGGTGTAAAGGGTGCTGCTGCTGCTGCCGCTCTGCTGCTTGCTGCTGCTGGTTGCCGCTTTTGTAGCTGCTGCTTTGCTACTTGTTGCGGCTTGGTGCTGCTGTTGCTGTTGTTGTTGCTGACGACGCCGCTGCTACTGCTACTTGCTGCTTGTTGCTTGCTGCTGCTGCTTGCTGCTTGCTGCCGGTGGTGGTGCTGCTGCTGCTGCGGCTTGATGCTGCGTTGCTGTTGCGTGGTGCTGCTGGCTGGCTGCTGGTTGGTGGTTGCTGCTGGCTGCTGGCTGCAGGCGGCTGCTGCTGCTGCTGTTGGCTGCTGCTTGCTGCATAGGACTTGTACTTCATCGTTATAAGTTGTTTACCCCTATTTTTAACCTAATGTATGCATAAACGGGTGGTAAATTTACCCCCCAGGCTGGCTATAACCATACACCGGCTATTTCTTCAAGACATTCTATTCTTGATATCCTTTTACCAGTGCTTATTCTACATTACGGACGCCTTAGTGTATACACAGTCCTTGTGATGCTTACCCCTCGTTCCGGCTCAAGGCATACATAAGCGGGGGATAAATTTACCCCCAGATTTGCCATAACCATAAGCCGGCTATTTCCTCAAGACACTCTACTCCTTCTACCTTTTATCCGTGCTTATCCTACACTATGGACGCCCTAGTGTATGCACAGTCCTTATGATGCCAGAAATGCTTATCCCTTTTTCCAGCGCAAGGCATACATAAGCGGGGGGTAAATTTACCCCCCAGATTTGCAATAACCATACACCGACTATTTCCTCAAGATACTCTATTTTATATATTTTTTACCCGTGCTTCTCCTATACTACGGACGCCCTAGTGTATGTACAGTCCGTATGATGTCAGAAATGTTTACCCCTCTTTCCGACTCAAGGCATACAAAAGCGGAGGGTAAATTTACCCCCAGATTTGCCGATTACGCATCTTCGTGCCTGCCAACGAGTGCACCCGGGTTGTTCCAATGTACCCTTCCCAGTTAGCGATGTCACATTTACATTCTTTAGCGCAAAGTATGTACATAGCAACCTTCTTCCCAAAATATGTCATTCTTACATGCTTTGCTGACTATGTAACTAGTACATCCGGTGCGATTCGGCTAGCTTTCGACCTCTCCCCCTGGCCTCAAGTGGTCAAATTGAAGTCGATATTTCTTGAGTTGCCGGACGAAATCCTGACGCGTATTGACGATTATTAATTGTGTTGGAATCGGCGAAGACGTCGGTATGTGGAACGGGTTAAGAAGATCGCGCTCCACCTGTTCTTAAGCTCTGATTGTTAATATTGGGAAAAGGTCTTATATTATGAGGATGTTGAGATTTTGTGCATTGACCTGTAGGCCACAATATTAATAGACCTGAACGATGATTAGGTCTATTTGCACTTGCTCTCGCTTGCCGCGTCGGGTCGTGTTTAGGCCGTTATGGACGGGCTTCTTTGCAGAATTGTGTCCGCTTTTCGGTATTGCAATGATGGTGGATCTGGGGTATTGAATATCTATCTATATGGATTATCTTCTCTATTATTTTCGGATATGGAGATGGTCTTGCAGCTAGAAGATCCAGCTAGGTAGAGGTCTCCGCAGGAGGTGAAGGAGAAGCAATTTATATCTATTTGACGATTTGCGAAATGGTAGCTGCTCGAAGAAATCTATTAGGTGAAGAAGATCTATTTCGATTAGGACCTTATGGATTATATGAAAAAGAAACCTGTAATGTTGGCCATCGTGCTCCGGGTCATTAATATTTTGAATGGCGTTCGCGGGTCCCCAAGCGGCATTAGCTTCGAGGGCGGTGGAAGGGGGCGTGAGCGCCTGATTATGTAGGAACGTTGTAACGAATTTAACCAGTGGGCGGTTTGGATCCCTGGCTTGAAGGTTGCATTGGTGCTTGCTTTGAAGGGCTGGTTGTGTCGTGGCATAACTCCATCATTGGAAGCGGCACTTCGTCTTTTCGATCGAATTGCTTTGGATGGATGGAAGCAGCACTATATGAACGACTACATGCCAACACGGCGTGATTGCAAACAATGCGTTCGCTCATCTGTTCGCAGCAAACCTTACCGAAGGGTCAACCATCCTGAAGCATATGCCTTGAGTGTGGACCTCTCCGGCAAGATGGCTCTAGGTCAGGATTAAGCCCGACATCCATGTCGATACATGATGGTGGCTATATATACCTTCCCGGTAGATGGCGTTGATCGACCATTTGTTGAATTTGATCAAGGCCCACCTTTCGAAGGTTATGTTGATCATGAGTTGCCACCGTTTGATGATTTGTAATATCTTTAATCGGATTTGGGCGGTGATGACCTAGGGGCTGAATTTTTGACTGAAGAGTCGGTGGTGGAAGTAAAGATTGCGGGGGAGGACACAGCTGTGCGCACGTGTAGGGCTTCGTTTTAGGCATGGCGCAAATTGGTGGAAGGGTTCAATTGATGCGACGGTCCGCAATTTGACTTTTGCGGAGGTGCTTCATTCGTATCGACGCCCGTCTTCGGAGCCTTGGATTTCCTTTGTATCGGGCGCATTGCGATCGTGCCCGGGAGTTGATCTCTGCTCTGGCTCATCGCTGGACATTGAATCTTGGCATCGTGATCCCACTTACCACAGGTGACTCTTATAAGAGCAATGGCAAGGCGGAGGGTGCATTGTGGCCTCCATAGGGCTGGGATTGGAGACATGGCCGTTGGCGGCAATTCGCATCGGCAAACGACGCCTACGTGGTTAGCTTCGTG